CATAGACACAGGCACACCACGTGGGTATGTCCACCTTAGCAAGCAAGAACCAAATATGTGGCATTTCCTGGTGCTTCATATATTGGGATGATCAAGAAATGGAGAACATAGGAATACTAATATTTCTCCCCAAAGTGCACATTTTTGAACCAAACCTCAACTTCATCAGCCACTAGACTGGCAAAGGAGTTGTAGAGCTGTGATTTTGCTTATGCAAAAAGTCTTGCAAAGTTTTTGAGTTCTAATTACACTAAGCCATCCATCCATCTGTTTGCAGAAAATGCATAAACATTTAGTCAACGTATGTACTACGTATCAGCTGGAAGAGCATTTGCATGTTTGAAATCCCAGTTGTCCTGGCACGTCTGGAACGCACACTCACTGTGCCATGTCAGGCCGCACCCACAACCACAAACTTCAGAAGGCACCGCTTCCTTATTCTGGAAAAATGGGCTGGCTTCCTGCACTCTTGCTGGCCAGCTCAACCATTTCAATTTCTTGAGCAAGTGAAAAGTGGGGTTTAAATTTGGAGGAGGAAGCAGTAGCCAACCCTGGTAATTCTAAAGAACAGTTGTGTGCTTCCCATTCACGCAGCCACACAAAGGAAATTGAGTCATCAGTTTCTTGCTGTGCAAACCCCCAGAATTTCTCTCCAGGGCAGAAAAGATCCCCTTTGAGCACTGTGCTTTGTCTGGCAGCATCTGCCACCTGCTCCACTCCTTTTACAAGAGCCACTTCCCTTTTAGGTGCTGGGTGGAGTCAGCTAAACCGGAGGTGCTGGGGAAACACAGCCCCAGCCCCAGCCCCAGCCCCAGCCCCAGCCCCAGCCCAGCCAGCAAAGACTACCTCACACCACCTCCCTCTGCCAGGGGACCCCAGCCTGGAGCCATCTGACATCACAGACTAATCTGGAATCTCACTTGACTATGCACGTGTCACCTGGGGCTCCAGGCTGGCTTTCAGTTCAAGATCTTTGACTTTCATAGAGAGCTGTGTCATCCCGGGTCCTCAAGACCTTCCCCCACCGAGGCCATAAAACCTGCTAAGCACCCAGAGTTTCCAACGAGCATTTGCAGAGGGGGCTTTCTGGGTCTGTGCATCTAATGCTGACAAGGTCCACGTGAGAGCCTCCCTCCGCAGAGCCTCTCCCTCATTTCCAGGTGCAGGGCATTGCCCTAACTTGCCTCTGAGACAAGAGGCCGCCTCTCCCTTTTTTCCAGGCCTGTGAATGAGAGCATGTCTAGAAGGGCAGCTGGACTCTGATAAGGCCCTGACTTATTTTAGAAATAAATAACTAGGTTAGTATCTCTTGACAGCTGTGGCCAAACGTGAGGGGAGACAGGCCAGGGCAGGGCAGAGCAGGGCAGCCAAGCATCCACAGCCTGCTGGGGGGTAAGGGGGGAAAGACACTCATGTCAGACCTCAGGTTAGCTGGCCACAGGGGTGGAGAGAGTGGGAGATCAGCACACAACTTACACAAGTCGCCCAGAGGCAAAGCAATGCAGTAAAGGAGCTCAGGCATCGGGGCCTCCAGCTCCACCGCTCAGTAGCGGTGTGCCCTCAGGAAAAGTCACAGCATCTCCCTGAGCCCCCATGTCTTTCTCTAGAAAATGGAGCTAAATGTATGGAGGCTGTTGTGAGGCTCCTATAAGAGGACCTGCACTAACCGCGTCGCTGAAGGCCTAGCGGAGACTGGTATTTCCTGGGGACTTACAACCCTACTTTGGGCAGAAGCATACGGTGCATCGCTGAGAGTCAGGTGTTTAAAACTGGGGTGCTCCTGGTTCTCAGGGACCCAGCAATGATCCAGGAGGCCCTGGAAGTCCCAGGCAGTACGGAAACTCTTCACTGAGCCTCCTTAGTCTCAGATTAAACTCAAACTGGGTGTAATATGGAGTAAAATAAGAAACGGATGCCTGCTTAAGATACTACGTAAGGCATGAAACACCAGGAGACCACATGCTGCCCTGCCCATGGCAGAGGGTTGAGGCGGGGCTCATTCCAGTGGATGGTGGCATTTCGGTGGCAAGTCATGCCTCTCTCTCTCTTTCAGGGCCTGTTTCCTCCTAAGGAAAAGGGGGTTTTCTGAAAGATCCTGGGAGTCTCATCACTAGATCTGAGTTAAGAAATACTTCTTGAATGAATGGAAGGGACCTGTCATAAACTAAGAATTTCATGCTGCCCAACATCCCCTCCCACGTGAGGCCATTTGAAAAAAAAAAAAAAATGGAACTTTTTCCTATGGGCTGCCAGCCTCAAACACGCCCACCTGGCGCCCTGCCTGTGCTGGAGAGATGTCCGATGATGTGTATCCGGGGAGGCACTGAATTAGTGATGCTAACCTCAGCTGCGATGGAGCTTTGCTGCCTTGCTCCTTCATCTGGGAAAACGCAGCAGAAGCTCTAATGCCCATGAGGGGTGTCTAATGCTCAGAGGCAGCCGAGGACACTGCCAGCCCCAAGCCCCAGGGCTCTCGGATGCACCCCTCTTTCTCAATGCCAGGAGCGTGATTCCCTGGCAATGGCCTGAGAGGAGGAGATAGATGTGTGCTGGAGGACTCATTCCACCTGCCCTTGACCCAAGGCTATTTTCTTTCTGCCACATGTGACACCTAATTCCAGGTATCTGTTCTCCAGCTCAGGATCTCTGGGTCCAATGTGGTTTTTACCGCCATTTAGCCATTTCTCTCCTTTTTGCTTTGCAATACTGAGGTTAGACCTTTCTTCCCCCCCAGAGCCCCGCCCCTTTCAGTTTCCTCTTTGTCTGCTGGAGGCCCCCCCTCCCCACAATGGGCAACAATGGTGCCTTTCCTTCCCCCTCCTCTTTCTGCTTCTGCTCTCTCCCTCCCAGCCTGAGCCCACAGAGAAGTCATGTCTCTCTCCTTTCTGAGTCTTAGTTCTCTCCGGACAACTTTCCAAGCACATGGAAGCCAGGGTCCCGGTATTGCTGCTGGCACTTTTTGTGCTTCCTCCACATGCCGCTGCCCAAAGGGACCATAAAAATGGTGTGTGAGGGGTGGGGGGGGGTGTGCAAGAGTGAGCCTGCTATTCTCTGGGAGAACCTCGAGGGTCAGGATAGCGCCAAATGTTTGGGGAGGGGGTCCCTTCAAAGACTCAGGCAGACAGATTGGCAGGAGCCCGAATCCTCAGAACAAAGCAGAAGTGGCCAAGGGAAGGTAACATACAACTAAACTTCCCCAGAGGCCCCTTCTCCCTGTACCCAAGTTTCCCTATTCGCTCCCCTCCCAAGTGCGGCTCTTTGGCTCCTCCAGGTTTGGCCTCTGCTGAGGCCTTTGGCCCACCACAACCCCGCTTTCCCAAATGCCTTTTTTATTTTGTCCATGCCATATTCAGAGCCCAACATATTCTGCCCAAGCACAGGCTAGTGGGCCTGCGTTCACATGGCACCGATCCACGGGCAAAAGTCATTTAACCTCCCTGAGCCTCCATTTGTAACTCCTCCAACCCCCCTACCCCTGCCCCATGAAATAAGCTAATAGCAGGCCACTTCTCACTGAGCCAGAATGAGGGCAAAATGACATAACACATGTAAAGAATTTAATGCACGCGCGCACACACACACACAGGCACACACGCGCGCACACATACACAAAATGCCCTAGCTGGTTTGGCTCAGCGGTCAGCCTATGGACTCAAGGATCCTGGGTTCAATTCCCGCCAAGGGTTCTGGGCTGGGTCCCCAGTAGGGAGCGTGAAGGAGGCAGCCAATCAATGATTCCCTCTCATCATTGATGTTTCTATCTCTCTCTCTTCCTCTCCCTTCCTCTATGAAATCAATAAAAATATTTTTAAAAGAATTTTTAGCACAGTTCTGGGCTAGCAAAGTGTGCAATAAATGCTTGCTAGTGCTTGTCATTCCTATTAGCATTCCTATTATTTCTATTTCAGGAATCTAACTCTGGGATTCCCCACTTTTCCGTGGCTAGAACAGTGTCTTTTACTTTCCTGGTACCCCCAGAGCTGGGTTTAATAAACACTTGCCGGGTAGAATTAACCATAGGCTGAGCTGTCTTAATGACCCAGCTGGCACGCCTTAAAAGAAAAATTAATTTTCCTAGCGATAAGCAAATCAGCCATGTAATTATCTGCACGTATATAGACAAAGGAAAGAAACACCTGGAGCTCAGCTTGGCCAGAATACCTCACACACAGCCACCCTCCACAACCACAGAAAGCCACAGATCAGGGCAGGAGGGGACCCTGGTAACCCCAGCTCCGGGGTCGCCGGTGCCCAGGCTCCTGGCCCTCCTCCAAGGCTGCCAGGAAGGAAATATTCGCCACATCACCGTCTGGATTTCCCCTAACGGATTGGCAGAAGCAGGAATGTGCAAGGGCTGAGCAGCTGGCCCAGTCATTGTCTTGCCTGCTGCCTGCCTACTCACACTCCCTGGCCCGGGCTGGCACCTCTTGGAGACCCGGGAGCTCCCCCCGCGGGGCTGGTTCCAATTCCCACCAGCGTTGAGAGAGTCCCCCAATGGAGCCAACTACAAGAGCTTTGAAACCCAGGTGCAATGGACAGGCGCGAGAAGGCAGGGCCCCTTCACGGGAAGCTAGCCTGTGGCTCTCAGTTCTCATTCATGCAACTGTGGCCACCTACCTCTGTGGCCACCGGGCTTACAGCCTCTGCCCTGCCCAGCCCTGCCCTGGCCCCGCCACAGCCCGGCCTTTGGGACAGGAGCCGGGGAGCGCAGACACGCTGCGCGCATCCAGGCGCACAGTTCCTCTCCGCCTGGTGCTCTGGCTGGGCGACCTCGCCCAAAACTGCGCGCGGGCAAACTTTCTTCTCTCTTTTCCTTTCCACAAAGCGTGCTCCGAACCAACAAGCTTAGCGCAAATCCTAGCCCCCCTGAACCAAATCCGAGCTGCAGCACCCCCCTTGGCTCCGGTCCCCAGGGTCAGCTCAGGCGGCGCGGCTGCCGGGTCGGTCCAGACGCCTCCGGTCCCTCCCTCCCGCTGCCCCGGCGGCAGGCAGGCACTCACGGATCCTCTGCGCCAGGCTCAGCTGCAGGAGGCAGAGTCCCCACAAGGCGCACCACTCGAACTTGGCCATGGTGTCTGAGCGGATCAGAGCGGACCGAGGAGAGCGAGGAGCGAGCGAGGGAGCGGAGCTGGAGCGTCCCGGCGCGCTGGGCTGGGGGACTGGAGAGATCGGGGCGAGGAGGGCGGCCCGAACCTGCCGGAGTCTGGGGGCTGGCTGGGCAATGAGGGCGCCTCGGAAGTTGGCCGCCGTTTTTATTTGAGGGTTGCAAGTGACCTAAGAGGGAGGGAGGGAGGGAGCGAGCGAGCGAAGGACACACCCAGTCGAAGGGGCTGTGACTAAGCAGTCGGCAGAGGTTTGAAAACGTCCCAGCCCTCCTCTGAGCCAGCCCCTGCGCCGTCACCGTGTGCTCCAAGAAGATCGTAAATCCGGGTTTCCTGGGCGAGCGCCCCGAGGGCAGCAGGGGGCCGGGGAAAGGGGGGTGTGGGGGGTGGACGCGCAGGCTTTCTGCTCCCGCCCCCGGGTACCCTGGGGAAGGGCAGCCTCAGGAAGGAGGGTGACTGAATCCTGAAACGTCGCCCCCCCCCCTCCCCGCCTAGGTTCAGTACCTGGCCTCCCCTCTCAGCTAAGTTTCCTTTTGAATTGGGTGGGGGATGCTTGTCTCAGAGTTCCCAGGCAGCTGGGACAGGAGCTGGGATCCTGGAGCTTCCCCCGCAGTGGGGAAGGAGGGGTGGAAGGCTGTGACTCTTACCAGGGGAGAGAGAAAGAGCAGCCCAGTCCACCTGGCTCAGGAGCTTTGCTTCTTATCAGGACTGGTCAGAGGAAGATGATGGTCAGCCAGGGACTAGCATCAGCCACTAACCCATGTGTATCCTCCAGGCCCAGGCTGGATTCACCCACCATTCATGCATCCATGCACCCACACTCTAGCCTACCCTCTCCTCCATTCTTCTATCCACTCATTCATCCATCTACCCATCTTTCCTTACGTCCCTCCAGGGCCCAAACGTCCATCCATCCTGCTGTCCCTCCATTTATCCAATCGCTCCCCCATACAACTTCTCAGTCATCTTTCCGTACTTACACACACACACACACACACACACACACACACATTTCTTCATAAACCCTTATCCATCTATATACTATCTAACCTCTCTCCACCCGTCCACCTACATATCTGTTCATCAGTATCCATGGATCATCCATCCATCATCCACATATCCGCTCATCACTTTACCCATCCTCTTATCCTCTCACAGTTTCTTGTTCCAATTTATATTCCTATTTGTGCAAACATTAATCCACTTTTCCCCATCCATCCTACCCAGTAGCTCTCAACAAGGAAGGAGGTTGTCATATTCTTCAGGAATGCATTTTGAGTTTGAAAAATCACATTTGCATTATCATTTCCTATCTACCTCTAATACAGTATGGTTTACTATCTGAAAATCAAAAGTGGTATTTACTGTTCATGTGGACTACTGAACGAAAATCTGAATGGACGTCTTGCCTGGTGAGATACCCAGAAAATGATAGTCGTGCTCAGTGACTGTGGCCAGACCCTGAAGGAGCCATGTCACAATTTCTGAGAGAACATAATTCCCTTCTGATTATGTTACTTATTGAAAGAATTTGAAAAAAATGGAGAGAAAGTGCACTCAGCCATCTGTAATTGATCAGATATGTAATGAGTGCTCTGAGGCATTGGGAGAGATAAGACCTGCCCTGTGTCAAGGACCTCACACATTGGTAAGGAATGAGCAAGCTGTTTCTACATAATATGTGTGTACAGAGTGCTGTCCATCCTAGCAAAAAGAGTTCACCCTTTCCTGGGGAATGTCAAGGGGGACTTCACAGTGGAAGAGATATTTGAAGAAGGAGAAGGAAGTCTTCAGAAGAAACCACAGGGCCAGAGCGTCCACAGACAGTATTCTGTTGCGATCAATAGTAAGGATTCAGGAGGCAGAATGCCTGGGTGCCCACCTTGCCTTGGTTGCTTACTAGTTCTGTGGCCTTAAACAAGTCAATTAGCCTTTTAGTGCCTGGATTTCCTCAAGTCTAACATGGGGTTAATAACAGTATATTTTGTGGACTTGGTAAAGACTGATGAATCAAATGTTCTGCATATATTAAGCACCAGACATATATAAGTATATGTGCACATGGTAAGCACTATAAATGTTTGCTATAATTACTAAAAGCAAACTTGTGAGTGAACATGGAGACATGAAAGGGCATGGCTTGTTGAGGCAATGGAGAGCAATTTGGAGTGACTTGAACATTCGACCACAACAAGCAAGAGGCTAGAGATGTAAGCAAGGGCAGGTTGTAAACAGAAATGGAATTTTTTAAAAATATATATTTTATTGACTTTTTACAGAGAGGAAGAGAGAGAGATAGTTAGAAACATCGATCAGCTGCCTCCTGCACACCCCCCCTACCAACCCAAGGTACAAGTCCTTGACCGGAATCGAACCCGAACCCTTCAGTCCACAGACTGACGCTCTACCCACTGAGCCAAACCGTTTCGGCCGGAAATGGAATTTTCCCTAGACTGGTTAGTATAGTAACTCCTGGGCTCAAAATCAAACCTCACATGGGATGTGTAAGGTTCTCCTTCCCTCCTTTCTTATTGTTTTCCTATTCCCTTTGGGCTTTCTTCTCCTTCTGGATAAGAACTTCCTTCTCTTTATTTTGTAAATAGAGACCTTCTTCTGTTCCCAGCTCCCTCATTCTATGGAAATGTATCTGTTGTACCTTTTCAGCTCCCCTATTCTATGGAAATATACCTTCTGCTGCTCTGCAGCCCTGTGCTTCCTCCATGGCCCCCTGAATTTCCAAAATTTCTAAAATTTCCTAAACATGTCCTATTTTACCCTGAAAATTCCTGTTTCAAAACTATACCAGGAGATTTGAACTTGATCCCTGGAAATAGGGAGCCAATGTATATCTTATTATTATTAAATTGTTGTTGTTGTTGTTATGTTTGTGCTAAAATACACATAATATAAAATTTACCACTTTAACCATTCAGTAGCATTTAATACATTCACAAAATTGTGCAACCATCACCGTTATCTTAGTCCATGCAGGCTAAATAACAGAATACCACAGACTGGGCTACTTAACAGAAATGTATTTCCCACAGTTCAGGGGGCTGGGAAGTTTAAGACCAGAGTGCAATGTGTTGGATTCTGGTGAGAACACTCCTCCTATTTTGTGGATGGTCACCTTCTCCTAACCTCACATGATGGAGGGAAGAGAGAAGTAGGGAGATAAGGGGGGGGGGGGGGGGGGGAGTGCGCACACATGCGTAGTGGCAAGATCTCTTGTGTGCCTCTTCTTATAAAGGCACTAATCCCATTCATAAGGGCTCCATCCACATGACCTAATTACCTCCCAAAGGCCATACCTCCTAATACCATCGCAGTTGGGAGATGTGTGTGTATGTGGGAGGGGGTGGGGGGGAGGTGTTAGGATTTCAACAGATGAATTGTGTAGACAACAAACATTCAGCTAATAACAACCACAGTCAAGTTCCATGTCAGTTTTTGAGTTGAAGAGAGCCTGCATCCTGATAGGGAGAAGGTTTGGAACTGAAAAAAATCACAGAACCTACTCACTTGGCGGGCATTCCATGATTGAAGGGATGGCCTGTCTGAAAGTGCCTTTGAGCCCCACCTGAAGATCAGGCTCTTTCAAAAATGCTGTTGTCAAGGTCATTTTCTTGAGACAGTTGGAAGGCAAACTGGCCCCCAGGTAGTTTTTAGGCTCCTCAGGCATTAACCACAGTGAGAAAACAGCCCTTGTGAATTCTAGACAGTCACCTTGGATGTGTTACCTCCAGGGCATTCGGCTTTTCTTTTTTGGAGGAGGGGAGTGGAGCAGGGTGGATATTCAAACAATGTTTGTCCTACTGCCTTTCATGAAACTTGGAGGTTCCTTGGAGACCCCTCAAGAAACAGGGGTCAAAGCAAAGACTTAATTAAGCATGGGCTGTGCCTCCCTCCCCCTTGTCCCCATCCACCCCCATTCATCTTACACACTAGACTACTGTGTGAGATTTCGTTTTGACAAAGGGTTTTACTTTATAAACAAATATAAAATCTACGATTACTAAGTCATCTCAAACCCTGGACCCTCCTGCATTTGCACAGGAAGCAGTCAGCAAATGAAGACACAAGTGGACTGTGCTTTGTAAACTATAGAGGGACATGCAAATTCTAAGGATTGTAATTAGGACCATTCTCCCAGTGGGGACTGCTCGGCTGGCCTGCTTCCCGACAGTTTGCTGAGGGACTGAGGTTGTTAGCCCCCACACCACAACTGACTCATTTCAAGCTGACCTGGTGACTTATTGAGTCAGGGCCGGCCTGAGGGAACTCCTGGATCACCTCTCTGCGCTCCTCGCTCATCTTCCTTCCAGTCCAGACACGCCACCCTCACCACTGGCTCATGAAGATTTTCCCATGCTCTTCTCTGAGCCTCCAAACTGACTCAATCCTTAAAGTGACACATTTTAGACATTCAATACCTGTTGTGTGGTGTTGCACCAGATAAGCCAAACCAGGGCAGTGTGGGGAACTGAAAAAAGAGAGAGCATGGGTTGATCTGAGTTGACAGGAAAGTTGGAGATGGACACAATCCACAACTGAGAAAGCCCAGCTCTGAGCACTGCTGTCCCTGTGATCAGCCAGTGACCTTACTCGGGTCACTTAACCTCTGGGAGCTTCAGTTGTCTGGTGCCCCAAAGAAGACTAAGAAGACCTTCCTCACAGTTTGTTAGGAGTAGTAAGTAAGTGAAAGAAGGCATTAAGACCTTTACGGGGGGCTGCCTGCCTCATTGGGGGACTATAGGACCCGCCTCAGGCAGGACCCCTGTAGAACAGGCCAGCAGAGGACATTTGGTTCAGGCGGACCAGAAAGTCCTGAATGAGAAAGGGGCCCCAGCCTCATGTCATGGAACAGCCAGTGATTACCCTATCTGGCAGCTGCACTAAGGGCAAGACTGCAGGCCAGCAATAACAGCCGCTTGCAGCCCACAGCCTCCACGACCAGCACTAATCAGT